GCATTATTTCATTTTAACATGTATATATAACTTTTTAAAAATTGATTAAACATTTTTGAAAACACAGTTTTGTATTTTAAAACGTTTTCAAAAATATGAAGAATTTCATCGATACCAATCACGCCATCTATATGCAACTTTTAGCAATAATAATGCTTTTCCTATTGAGTGCCACTGGGTATTAGTTAGCTAAAGATATCGATGTTTCGTTAACAGGAGTCAATCAAAAATATTAATTGACAAAACGTTTTTTTTGTGTTGGCCACATTTGACTCGATCTCCTGATTCTTCAGGCTACTAAACGACTAGGCGCAACACTTTATAGTAAATAAAATTACTATAAATATTAAACTACGTTACAGCATATATTTGGACTTGACCCATTTCCTAAAATATAAATACATAGAATTAATAAAATATGCAATATTAATTATTAAAAATGTTTATTCATAGGTGTATCTCTCCACCTTAACCTTTGACCTCTTAAATACGAACTTTGAATAGCACTTACACATTTAAGAAAGAAGTATTGTTTGTAATTGTATAATAATCGTTTAATATCATTACTTCTTTTCATGACGACTGGCCGCTTACAGACGAGACATAAACATTCCATAGTTCACCTGCTCTTCGCCTGTCCAAATTGGACGAATTTTAAAACAACAACAACTATAAAAATTATCTCTTGTGTCACCATATACAGCCATTGCCATATACAGCTCTATACCATATACATTTTCTTTTTGGCAATTTATGCAAATCTTGTAATGATCTATATTCCATTATACTATCTTAATCATTGAGGGTTTATTTTTTTTACGATAATTGCGACCCCATAGAAGTAAATTCATTAGTGTAGTAATTTTTTGTTAATACCGAGTATATTTTTTCTGTTGCTTTGAGCTACATTTATTCCTAGTACCTACCGAGTATTATGTACAATTTATGGTTTATTTAAGTATGGTCTCTATATATAGATATATATATATATATTAGATTTAATACAGATCATACAGATACCAGTCACTTCCGTTAGCTGTTAGTATAGTTGTTGTTAGTTACACCATATAATGCGATTTTTTGTCTCTTACACATATGACTTTTGGATACTGTATGAATATTGTAGGATATGTATATATATTATAAGTAACAGCAATGAACCTTGACTGTTTTTTTTCTCTGATTTATTATCGTCTTCCGTGATGTGACACGTGGCCTTTACAGTATGTCAGTATTTTGCGGTACTGGATCCCGAGTGACGGGCACAAATTTTATCTCGCTAATAAATATCTTTTACTCTAATTATTTTTACGAAACATACCCATCTAACTTTGCAAATGATTCATTAAAAAAATATAATTAGGTATGTATTTATTTGTGGTATGTTTTTGTATTTATGTATATTTGTAGGGATATTTATATATTTATATTTATTTCTGTATATTTCATAAATCTATTATAATATTATTTGCACCGCCAACAACTTATCTCTGCACAACTCATGATTGACTGGTAGAAAATGCCATTAGGTGTTAAGTCCGCCATAACATGCATTACAGTTATTTAAATAGGATAAATAAATGTAATTAATAATGTATAACAATTCCCTTCGTGTAATAGATCATTAATAAATACTTAAAATTCCTCTGAAGCATTAAAAACTACAAAGTAAGAATTTCATACTACATACTTTCATTATAATAATAATAATATCTCAAGACAATTCACACAACGCTAGCCCCAAACTAAGCAGAGCTAGTGTTATAGGTGTTAGACAACTGATATAAATACATGGATGCATTTTTTTTGTAAAATATTGTATTATACATAGAAAACACCATGAATATAAATGTTCGTACCGTGTGAAGAATCGAACCAGCGACCATCGGATAGTAAAGCGGTATGCCAAACCACTATACCACCAAGGCTGTCATACTTTCATTGATTTATTTTTACATAGAAATTCTGAATATTTTATAGTATATGTAAAATATTACCCAATGTTAGATTTGCAATGTCGACGTGGAACGTTCCATAACTCTACCTCTGTGGCACCTTCTTGCAAAAAAAAAATTAATTATGGGATAAATTACACCAACTAGTATGTAATTTAACCTCTCAGACAGACTCTTATCCACTGAGTATATACAAATGTAAAAAGTTATGGATATATAGAAACACAGCATAAAATTACCCGAACAAATATTATATAAAGGTATAAAATTCAAAATGTTACGTCACAGAGCTACTCAAGTTGGTATCATTATAATCAATAAAAATCATGATTCACTCATAAAAGTTCTAAGCACGCACCCAGTGTTTGTATTTCCCAAGTACAGTCAATCTCAAAAGCAAAAAGAGAATAAAGTCTTATAAGACTTAATAAATAGATAAAGTAATAATTAAAATAACAATATTTTAATCAATTAAAAATAGTAGCGAATTAATACAGGTGTTTGGTGGAAGAATATAGCATGTTGTAATTCTAATAAAAAATCCGTAAATCGTTTTGTGCACTAGTTTGTATATAATGCATCATTTTGAAAATGGAACTTAGAGCGACGACATTGTTTTATTTAAGTTATTCACAAATTCCTCTCGTACGTTCCACGATTTTACCAATAATGATTTATTAATCGTATCAAAAACATAAATGTGAAATGATAGCCGAGTTTAATATTATGATATATGCCTTGATTGTTGACTTCTACGACAAAAGAGATGAGATCTAAATGGGTGCCAAGTTCAATGGTCTGTCCTGAAATGTATTTATAACAATATAAAATATCATTTCTTCTTATAACTTAGGATAATATACTGTAGCCTAAGGTCTAACTTGGCCAGTTCTCATATACCAATTATTACTTTCGATTGCTAGTTACTATTAATATTAAAATAGGAACCGACAAGTAACATGTTTAGAACTTGCGAAGGCTACAGTACATATATTTCGTATATGAAAACTAGCCAAGTTAGACCTTAGGCTACAGTATATTATCCTAAGTTATAAGAAGAAATGATATTTTTATTATAATAATAAATTTATAGCCTTTGAGAATAAATTGTCTGAAAATATGTTTTAATTATCACATATTGGTTCAAAAACCAAACATGGATTATGGGGAACGTTAAAATGATGATATTATCTATGTATGTATGATGTATTTTATTTAAACAATGACTTTTGTTTGTGAACGTACTCTCGTAATCGAATCATAGTCACACACGTGTTACATACACACCTACCGTCAATTGTAATTTGTGTGTCCTTACTAGGCCCATGTTGGTATATCTTACTAAATTGGTATCTTAAGCAATCCTAATGCTTTCTGCAATCCGGTCGCCACGTGAATCCAGACATGAATCGAAATGCACTAGTACATCTACTGATGGTAATGCCTATTAAGAATTATTACTATTAGAATCAGATATAGACTTTGTACAAAGTCGTCCACATTATGGCAGTAACATTACAACCTAATTTTACCTAATTAGCAACAAAACGTTCGTATAATATCTTAGTCCTCAGGAATAATAGAGCAATATACCTACTCATTTTTTGTGACGTCTCTATCCATCTGGGTCGCCAGCTTGTTTTTGTTATATCAATGATATAGAAAAAATATTAATTTAATTGCTATACTGTCGGAATAAAGGCTATAACAGAATAGCATAGAGGATGGATGGATTCACTGGGTACTGTTTTGTCTCTACCTATTAATTTTGCTATCCATAAATTTGTATCAGATTATGTTTTGAGATCAATAAAGTTTTTATGTATTTTCTACTATTATTCATAGTTTTAATAATTATAAACTTCGTAATGTGCGTAGATAATACCAAATGTTTTAAAAATGTAGGTACATTGTATTATTATACAACATTGGTTCTAATTACAATTTGTAGTAAACGCTACGAGCGAAATCAACGTTAGGGGAAATTGCCGAATATGTTTTTTTTGGCTATAGATACCCTGATTACTATAACTAGATTTAGTGTCGTATTGGCAAGAATCTGACAGACTACCTGATGGATAGTACTAGCTATCTCTTTTAGGAGCTCGGACGTTATACAATATATTATGAACCCTTTATGAGTTTTTATTCCCGAGAATACTGAATCTGCCTTAGTACTGCATCAAACTAGCAATACTGCTTTATTTATATTTTTCACTATGACTCACCATTCAGCAGAATGCTTAGCGATAGAAATATATAAGATGCCTTGCTTTGGAATTCCTAATGCCATTTGAGATGACATTAAACAATCTCAGGTGTATTTCGCTCCATACGGATATACCTAACCAAGTTGCGTTGGATAACAGTTCATCAGCCACTTGCACGATATGACTCTTTTTGACGTATTATATGTCAAGGTGTGTTATTAGGATAATGTGTTTTTACGTTATACCACCTTACGTAATAGCGACATAGAATAAAATAGCGAGTGACGTAGAGCGACGCGTCTAGTCTCGAATCGGGGTCAAGCGGGGCATGCCATTACTTAAAAGCATTTTGCCGCAAGGGAAAGTAAACTTTACAACAGTGTTAGTATAATATAACAAGTAGGTATATTTTGTACAACAAAAAAACTGATTGCTAATCACCGCAAAATTACTTAGCACGGAAAATGCTATAAATATTATTATAACAGTAAACTTACTTATACTTGCATAGAAAGAAGAAAGATTATTTCAGTTTGTTGGTTATTAAATAAAATCTGTCGTATTAAAAAAAATCTCATTTTGGAGAATGGTTGAATAAGATGTTCCATTATACGAGAGAGATTCTACCTAATTTATAACAGTTTTTGGTCTTGTGTTTATAGTAGTGGAGTCGCACTGTTATAAGATTTATTAATACTGATGACTCTTACTTTACCCACATCCTATTCATTGGACTACCACGAACTCAGTGACTGTTTCCTTATTGACTACCTTCTTATTTTTATATTGCATAGCTATAAACTTTAATTTTATATTCTATTTTGATTTATTACAGCTTACACAAGTAGTCGTGTTTTGTGCGGTACTGTACGCATGTGCTGCCCAGAGTGACAGACCGCAAGTGGCCGACACCGTTCTAGATGATGCCCTCAATGACAAGAGATTCATACAGAGGCAACTCAAGTGTGCACTAGGCGAGGGCCCCTGTGATCCCATTGGAAAAAGACTGAAAAGTTAGTATCAGTTATTAATTTTCATTTGAATCTCTGAATGGCAGACAATGACTCCCCTGATAAAATTTATACAATAATCACGTAAGAATTAGATATATAGATATATATGTATATGGTACATCAATATCGTCGCGACACTATGTTACATTGTTATGCTTAGAATACTCCACGTCTTCTGCTATTTCTGAATACTATTAGATAATGTATTATACCTGTATATGTAGTAATTTCCCTGTCATATTTCCCTCTCAACTGGTGGATAGCACCAAATATTTGTTAGCAGCTATCAAGTCTTTCCATTATAATAGGTAAAATATTAAACTAAATCTATGTACCACTGAAAGATCTCGGGCCTCTCACTATTTAACTATTTTATATTTATTGAATCAGGTGTTATTATGCCAAAAAGAATTTCATTATTTACTTATATATTATAATTCTTTTGTGTGATTCTGTTGCTATTGGCATGCGTGATACTACATTTGGTGAACTGGCCATCACCAGTAATAATTTCATAACCATGACCTTCCTTGTTATCAATCAATCTATTGTATGACTGTCATTAATTCTACACCCATATGCCGACATGTGTTTCGCCTCTAAAAGTTATCACGCAAAATACAAACGTAGATAGATCAACTGATGTATTAATATTTAATTAGTTCTTCGCCCCAAATTGTGATAATCTCTCACATCTAATGGTAACAGATTTCTCATTCACTAGTTAACATTTAGTTCAGTCAGGGCTTGGTAAATGTTTAAAGAATAGACTCTTTCTTTTCAAATGAAAGTTTAGTAAAATCTAGAAAACATAATCAACTGACAAACACACAGATTGACTTTCACAATTGTTTGTTGCCATTTATTCTGATACGTAAGTTATCTATAATCGTTGCTTCCAATACTATGCCAGAGCGGAGCAGTGTGTATATTTATTCCCACACTGAGAAAATAAAATATACAATTGTTGAATAAAATACACGTATAATCACCATTAAGATTAAATCGACGGATACTTGTAGGATAGTGTAAAACACTGTTGTTTGACAACTAATGTTCATTATTTAATAGTTTTTAATAATATTAATTTTGTGTGATTTTTTTCATGTACTCCTTACCTATGTACTGGTAGGTCATAATTATTTATTCATTCCTCTTTTCTTTTCTAACAACATTTAGTATGTTATCTGCAAAATTTCAATAGTATCTAGTTCAATAGTTCAAATAGTAGAGAAATGCGGATTTGAATCTCGCCTGAGTAGCCAATGTACACTTTTCAGGGATTTTTTTTTCTTTATAAATAAGAATACTTTATTTATTTTCAAAAATTGTTTCATATGTTTACAATAATATATATCTTTCAATCTAGTTAATGAATGCTCTAAAATGTTTTGAGATGGTTATTATTCAAATCGATTAATTGATATCGTGATTGGAATACGAAATGGAATAAATAAAATGAGCGTCTTGGAGAAAAATATTGAAGATAATACGTTTTACTTGAGAGAAAAACTCTAGTATTAAAAGAAAAAGTGTATTCACAGATTGTTTAATGGCAAACAAATGGAAACTAAAGGAAAATGCAAATATTTTTTTTAACTTTATTGTAGATATTATTCTTAGGGCAGTCTTCTTTGAATGTATCTTATGTATATTTTAAGGTAATTCCGGAATGTTCTATTTTATAAAAGAGCCTAATATCGCCTAATATTACAGTAAACATATACAACTAACACTGGCATAGTTAAACTATCAAGTAGGTATTTATTAAAATAGTTATTTACTTAAATAACACTCGGCAATAACATTGTATTTTGATGGCTAGTTAGCTTCTTATGTAGGTACATAAGTACCTACATTATACAATGTTATTACTAGGTTTTAGTACCAGTTTGTTTAAATTGACTACACTTTTCGCGTTACATAGTAGACTCACCACAGTGAATGTTACCGATTATTTAGGTATGTATTTAAATGGTTTATAGTCATTGACCTGGTCATTTGCAATGCTTATTTAATTTGGCATTGAGCTCAAATATTTTACGCTAAACCGCACCTAGTGATTGATACATTTATGTAAAGTGCAATTTACATACAAAGATTAATAGTAGATTTTAAATAAAATATTTTAGATAACATCAACCAAAATTGATAGTACCTACCTTGATATCGTGTTCGTATTTTCTGTTGGAGATTGCAAAGGTAGTAGGCACTCCTATGCATCTCCGCTACCCTTTTTAATATATTAAGGTAGTGTGAAGTAAGGCACCGATGACTACGAATATATCTATGGTACATATAAATCAAACTACACCACTAACAATTAAATTATTTTAAAGAACAAACGACAAATTAATTACATTTTCTTCATATTTCTACATCTATAAATGTCCTCAAGTCTTATATCTGGAGCCGGGGTGCAAACAACATTCAGGAGATCGTTTATTACTGTGTCACTTTTTCTTTAAAATAATTTGCTCACTATTCAAGTTAATTGATAACTGTATCGCTATATTCGCTCGAACTAGTGAATGCGTGGTTTTTTTTCTGAAGAGTGATCTGGCAATCAGGACTACTCCTGCCCGAATCTGATATACGGGTAATTCGCGCTAGATTATGCAACTTATCTACTAAAAATTATCTTTTAAAATTAATTGAAAGTATATCGATTATGTAAATTTACAAGTTGAGCTGCACGATTCGACAGCCTATAATTACGTTTCATGGGAACCACCTTATTCGTAATAAGTAGTAATAGGTATAGAGCTTTATCTTTAGTTATTTTACTATAAATTATTATTTATTTTATTAGCGGCTACGAGTAATAAGTATATAGTTTTTCTATCAAAAAACAGACCATTTTACTCCGTTTTTTTACCCTTTGCTAATTAATAGTGCTAATTTATATATTTAATTTTCCACAGCATTGGCCCCGCTGGTCCTGCGGGGCGCCTGTCCGCAATGTACACCGCAAGAAACCAAACAGATTCAACGAACGCTCTCGTACGTGCAAAGGAACTATCCGCAACAGTGGGCCAAGATCGTCCGTCAATATGCCGGATAACGACAGCTATAGATAGTAAATAGATTTGTCTATTGTATTAGTTTAACTTATAAGTTAGGTAATTATATTCTGATAATTTAATAATTATAACCAAGGCAGGTAAACAAATGCAGAGACTGTTTGATGGTGAATGGTTTCCACATTTCTTCCCCAAAACTTCTAGTTGGAATATCTTAGGAGGAATGCTCAAATTGCAAAAAATACTCTTGCATACATAATGGGATATAATATAATTTTATCTATTTACCTAAAAAGCATCACAAAATGTACGCAAGTAAATAAAAGTACAGTGACAAGAATCTCTAGAGTAAAAAATATATTAAAGAACCTCGAGGAGTGGCGAGGACTTTTAGATTATTAACTTTATATTGTCTGCAGTAATAAAATAATAAAAGTGGAATGAATTATCGTTACTTTGTCTTGATTCCGCTCTTTTAGTAGATGAAAGTGTTTTAAACTTTGAATATTCTGGTAGCAACATTGGTACTTCGGCACAAATACCAAACAAGTAAATTCAGGTAGCGAACAGAAAGTATCATTATAGTCACTTCTCCTTCGTTATATTCAATTTTGTATGTACACCTATTACCACTTCCTGAAACAAATTGATGTCAATAAGAATCATTTATAGTTTATAGAAAAATAATAATTTTTAAACTGAAATCCGGTTATTTAGCCGTAATTGTCTAAAACTAAGTTACTCCTTATTACATCAGCTACCTGCCAAAAACAGTTCCTTCAAAATCGGTCCACCCATTTCAGAGATTAGCCGGAACAAACAGATAGACAGACAAAAATTGTAAAAATATGTTATTGTGGTGTATGTATCGTATTTATATTCATATATATGTACATGTAGTAAAGAAACGGTTATTTCAAAATTACAAACAGACACTCCAATTTTATTTATATGTATAGATTATAACAATCTACTATTATTTGCCCACTGTAACTATCTTGTTATTAATTACAGTTACAAGAAACGTAACAGAGGTACCTAAGAGTGTTATTAGATATGTGGGCATACAAAAGTACATATATATATTTCTATGTTTATTTTATTTTTATATGTACGTACTATAAATATATATTTTGTAACTACTTAATATTTCACTTGCATTTTCTAAATTTAATATTACTTTAACTCTACAGGTTTATGTTTTGTTGTCCTGTTTCAAATAAAACATTACATGTTATGAAGACATTTTTATACAGCCAAACCTCTAAAAATATTTTTAGGATGTAAAGAAATATTTATTAAACTAATTGCTATTGTCTACCTATAATTTATGTGATTAAATTATGTTATTAGGTGTATTCATATGTAATAATTGGTGATAATAATATTTCAATAAAGTGATGTTATTATACTTTATTAGTCTTATTACAATTGTCGAAATAAGTTTTTAAGGCTTTTTATCCCAGATAAATTAATCAGAGGCAACTGTCGACGGTGCGTGGTGCGTGGTGGTGGTATGGGTATTTTGAATCGAACGTGTGATAGCTTATCATTTCTCTAATTAATTTTGGTTCACTAACTGTAAAGTCTTTTCTAATGGATGATAATGGCATACGAAACTTAGTAGCTCATAACCTTAATGCAGGCGGTGCTATCAGTGATAGATAATGGAATGGGTTTATGGGATGCTCTGGGCAGTTAGCTCTCACCGTAGTGAATTCACCAGTAATATTACGAATAACAACTAGGGTTTCCAGTTGGAAACATTATTATTAGTCACCATCAATAACAATCCTCTCTTGAGAGAAGAAGATTAGGAGCATAAGTGCAAGGTAAAAGTGAGACAATAATCACCGGCACGAATTGTACATAAAAACTTGCAAACAGTTTAAAATTTGAAGTTATGCTATTAGGAATAAAGTATCCGAGAATTCCATTTGGAAATACATACTCCATATAGAATTAATCACTGCGTAATACAATATTACTGAAAAAAATATGGTTTAATAAAAAAAATTGTCCATGATTAATTTTGTAGGCTGGCAATAAATTTCTTGTGAATGTTAATGTTGGTAACTGGTGACGCCTCCTTTGCTGGCCATATCCGGTGATAAATTGATAAACTTTTATAATAATTTCATTTCGTTTAAACTTTATTCTACATTACAATTAAATAAAAATATATTAAACTACCTTTAATTTCACTTTTATATACGAAATGATATTTATTATTTATTTAGTATTGTTTTCAATGCTGCCACCACACTACGTAAGACATAATTTCGTACGCAGTCGGTGATATTTACAACTATTATTTCCCTAGTGTTTTGACAAATACAATACAATTTTCTACTAATTGTTATTCAGAACACTATTTCTTTGATCTGGTACTGAAAGAGGTTGAAACATCTTGAAATATAGTGAAAATGTTTTGTTAACAGTTGAAGTCGGCATAGTGGATTCTTTTTGACAAAATATGGTCGTACGTTTCGCCTGAACAGATCAGTGATGACTGAACAAACTGAAGATTGTTATTTAGACGGAGAAGTAGTATGGGTGAAGCTTGGCTCATGCTGGTGGCCCGGTGAGGTGGTGGGCTCGGAAAAGCTCCCACCAGATGTATTGCCATCATTTCGGAAACCTCCTATTGCTGTGGTCAAATTTTTCCAAGAGGACACCTTGTAAGTTTCAAAATAATGATTATCATATTTGTAGAATTTTAGTAGATAATACGTTTATTATATTTTAAAATACAAAATTAGCCTTTGTTCAGGATTCCTCTGTCACTACTACTATTGTTATTTACATAATTTCGTCTTTACGTATGGTCCAAATGATCACTCTTATAAAATGGAATATAAATATCATAGAAGTCATTTTAAGATGTAAGTCATATAATAAAGGGTAATTACCATACATGACTATTTACTGCCAATACTCAAAAGTTTATATTTAAAACATTATGGGGTTCTACATAACCAAAGAGTATTACTATAAAAATGTCAAAAGATATTTCTGAATAAACAGTAGTTGCATATAGTTTTATACTTATGAGTGATTTCACAAGATACTATAAAAGAATTGTATGCAATATGATTTAAAAGAGGATTATTTTTTTAAACATATAAATTAAATTATTTTGTGCAGTATGTTTTTTAAAATATAGAAATTGAAGAGTTCAGAACATTAGGACACAATAGTGTAGTGCATAGGTTTGATTCCTCAAAGTATGAAAATATGATATGGTAATGATCTGAGTAGGTATTTAGAACCATTTATGCAGGCACTAATGGTTCACATTGGTGCGACATTCTTGGATAAAAGATGAGCCCGAGATCAGGTCAGTTACACAAATTCACTAGGTTTCTTTGGGAAATTCTGTGGAGGTCAACCAGACATTTGTGTATTGCCTTACAGATTGTACTAGATATCTAGTATGTTTTTTTTATTTCTGTTTCTGTGTTGGTCTCGGTTTTGGTCTGTGTTGTTGGTTACTGCTCATTCCAAAAGTTAACTCCTATAGAATATGCCTGTCTTTCATACTATATTTTGTGTGTACATTAAATCTAGTGATTGTCCAATTGTCAAACTATAAGTAATTTAAATTATGATAAATTTCATATTAAATAAGGCTAGACAAATAATATTAAACAGAAACAACATTATTCTATTCTCTATTAGGTGTATCTGTGCATGTGTCAAATACATGGTACTGTATATAATGTTTTATTTATTGAAAACTAATCTATTTTTTATATATTTAAAAAAATATTAGCATTTTGCAGTCCATTTTCCATTATGAACTAGTAATAATAGGTTTACAAAATATCATACTCCTGAAGAAATTTATGCTTCAGTGTTAATATAATGATTATATATTAATTAAAATGTAATGTATTATTCTTTCAGTGAATATGTCAAGAACAATAATTCTATCTATAAATATAATTGCAGTCGAAAAAATGAATTTATCAACAAAGGACTATGTAAGTTTTATTCAATTAACTATTCTGCCAGCTTAGATCCTGTATCATCATCATCATCATCATCTTAGCCCGGAACACGTCCACTGCTGAACAATGGCCTCCCCTAAAGATCTCCTCGACAATTAGTCCTGCGCCGATAGCATGTAATGCCTTGCAGCAATTTGACCAGATTGTCGGTCCACCTTGCTGGAGGCAGTCCCACGCTGCATCTTCCGGTCCGTGGTCGCCACTCGAGGACTTTTACTGCCCCAACGGCCATCTGTCCTACGAACTATATGCCCTGCCCATGCCACGGCTGGGCAGGCTGCCACTGCCACTTCAGTTTTGCAATTCTTCAGGCTATGTCGGTCACACTGGTTCTTCTGCTGATCTCCTCATTTCTGATTCGATCATGCAAAGAAACTCCGAGCATAGCCCTCTCCGTCGCCCTCTGAGTGACTTTGAGCTTATTCATGAGGCCCATAGTTAGCGACCACATCCCTGTGCCGTATGTCATCACTGCGGTAATTTGGACGAAAAGATATATCAGAGCTTCCCGATTGCTGCCCATCTAAGTTGGTTTCGACGATTGAACTCTTTCTCGAAATTGGACCTACCTAGCTGAATAGTTTGCGCTAGATATACGTAGTGATCGACTATTTCGAGTGTAGAGTCTCTCATTTTTACGGGTGTAGGTACTATATGGGCATTTGACATGATTTTCGTCTTGTCCATGTTTATTTTAAGACCTACTCCTTGTGAGACTACTGAGGTCTGAGAGCATTGTGCTAAGGACCTGTATCGATATAAAAAAATAAATAAAAATTTGCACTGTAAAACATACAAATTTTTATATTTGTTGAATTAATGAGAAAAAAAGTCTCATCATATTAGGAGAGTCACCAGACCATAACACCAAAGATTCATATAAAATATGCTATCTGATATATATAGTCATTATAACTCCATATATAGGTGAAAATTGGTAGTTAGGACCCATTCTTACATACTCATTGTGAATTACTGAAATTACATATATGTTAATATTACATGTCTCTAGATATGATATATATGTAAATATTATCCAACTTCTGTACATAATATAGTTAATGACGAAGTTATTGAAAAAAAAAAAAATTGTATTTGATCTGTTAATAACTGGAATTTTGTTTAGTTGGTAATTTATTAATGTTTTTTCAATCAATTTAATTTTAAATAGACCTAAAAATGTAATATAATTCTAGATATGTACAGAACTAAACATGGGCTCATGGAAAAGTTCCCAGAAGATGTTATTCGAGCAGAGACAGCGGTTGGTGGTGACATTACGATTCTAACCAGAGATGAGTTCCAAGAGACCAAAAAGGAGAGCTATGCTGGCATTTTTGGTGACTCAAGTAAAACACCTGGGTCAGGAAAAAAAGGTGAATAAGGATTTATATTCGAACAACTGTAAATGTGTGTGTACTCTCCTTTTTTTATATGTAATTTGAATGTCAAACAAGCTGAACTAATGATAAGTGGTAACCACTACCTACTGAATAGCCACATATTTGCATGGCACTATGGACATCAAATTATCATTTGACACCTTAAATCTGACATCTTATATTGAATTTGTAATACAATAATGCTTAATTTATATTATATTTTAACAGAACTTTCAATAATGTATTTGTTAATTCTCATCTTAGTCTACACTGTATATTTACACACATGGGTTTACATAATGTGCGTATAGATATTTTGATTTAATATCAAAGATTCCTATTAAAAAAATATATATGTTTAGCAGTTATATCTCTTATTTTTATTTGTTATAAATTCTCATATTCTGTATGTTGATAAGAGTAATTTTCTTTCTTTTAAGAATAAAATATGTTTATTATTCTTGGCATTAAACATGAGTAAATTATAGTACACTACTTGATTAAAAATTGAGGGCCTGTTTGTTGCAAAACCAACCATCAACTATGTATGTACATAGTCACTATATGCCACTCTTGCAGACTAAGGACTATTATGTCTCTCATGTCAAAGCATTGCTCTAGAATGACTGTGTCATGGTGACACTATGAATGGTGGATACAAAGATAATAATAACTATCATGATAAAAGTATGAATTCAAATTGTAAATTTATGAATTTCAGGAAAAGGCAAAGTAAAATCTTCAGAGTCATCAAAATTATTTACACCTATGAGAAAGGTATTAAACATTTTATTACATGTCTACAAGTTGAAATAAATATTATATTATGACCTATTTTAAAATTAATTTATATTTATTACAGATCAAAGAAAAATCTGACTACAAGGTACACATTTTAGTTCAAGGTTCAAATACACCTAGTCAACCAATAGAAGGTCCATCAACACCATCAACTAGTTGTACTGAATCTGATGTAACAAATGAAAAATCACCAACTATAGAAAATACACCCGAATCACTGCCATTAACTCCATCATGCTCAAGTTCTGGAATCTACTCTTGTCATGCTTGTCCATTCTCTACAACACGTTTAAATGTCTTAATTTTACATAATAAAACACACAGCGTCACATTTACAGCATACACACCATCACCTGTTCGGAAAAAACCTGTAAAATCTTCACCAAAGTCTACTTCCAGCAAACAGATAACACCAAAAATTAGGCGACCACGTAAGGAAAAGTCAGATATCGGTTCTAAAAAAACGGTCAAATCATTAAAACGTGTCCCAGAAGATGGCAATGATAATAGTACTCATATTAAAAAGCTTAAAACTGATGAAGAAATTAAAAGTAGTCTTTTAGCAGATTGGGATGATGTAGATGACGAAGAATCAAATGACGAGTATCAATCATCTACTATGGTAATGGCTGGTTTGCCGGAAGCAGCAGTTGCAACTGAATCACCCGCGGTTCCTACTTCTGCTGAACTACCCGTTACTCAAGGTTGTAGAGAAATGTCACCCCCAACTGATAAACGATGCGACGATTTGTCTACTAATGAAAAAGCAGAATGTTCTAGTGACTCTAAATATGAATTTTGTGAAGATGAAGATTGGCCTTTAGAAACAGATGCAGGTCGAAAAATTCCGAGAGTTAAAAATGCCTCCAAACGAAAAGACGATACTAAGAGTGTTAGTTTAGACGACGATGAAATGGCTAAAGAAGTTGCTGAATTACTCAGTAAAACGGCGGTCCCAGAATTACCTTCAGTGCCGGAATCATTAAAGGTAGAGGAAAATTTTCCTGAGCCTTCTATCGTGAAATCCCCGGATAAAAAATCTGAAAATTTGAGTGAATCATCTCAAAATTCTGTAAAGGTTACAGAAAAACAACCTACAAAAGCAATTTTTAAAACTAAAACATTTTTTCGTAGCCGACACTCTAGAAGTCAAGATGCAATAGGTAAATACGTAGCGGAACAGTTAAATGCCGTAGAAAGAATGGATATGTCAGAAAACGAGATCAACGGTTCCGATGCTGTATCATCACCAGAAGCAAGGGATACTTCCCCGGTGGAACAAGTAAAAGTAGCTAGATTAGCACCAAAAATCCAGCTAAAGAAAATGAAAGCAGAAGCAGCACAAATGCGAGAGAAGGAGAGAATCAATAAAGACCAAATTGTTGAAGAGTTAAGTATTCCAGTTCCATCTGTCGCATCTAAATCAGATGATAAATTTACCACTAACGTATTCACAAATAAAGAAACTGATAAGGACGATAAGCTACCTCTATCTTCTTGTCATGATGTTTTGTACCCTTCCCAGGAAATCAAGTTAGCAAATGAAGCTGTTACGGTGGAAGATAAGAATATTAAAAATAGTGAAGAAAATAATAAAGAAAATCTACATGATGGTAGGCCAGCAAATACAATAACTATCACCAATGATATGGGTAAAGAGTTTGCTGCTTCTGAAGTAAATAAAATGGAAACAACTTTATCTGTTGAAAACTTGTGTGATACAATGAAGTCGTATGAACAAGTAAAGGAACCTTTAATGAATGAATCTACTGCATCAGCTGTTGATGCATTATTAAGCGTGTCTCGAGATGCAGACAGAGTTACTCGAAATATTAGTAATGATCCGCCTGAAGATTTATTTGAAGATGATAATAAAGATATTGGAACTAATAACAACGTCAATGGTATCAATGATAATGTAAATGAGACAAATTCTGTCAACAAAGATTTAGTACTAAACTCGGAAACTGAACATGATCCTCACGTAAACACTAAAAATATTATTAATGAAAATATTGATGTCATTGAACAGCCTGAAACAAATTCTTTAGAAAATAAATCTATTTCAATGGATATTGTGGAATTACCTATAGATGAAAAGATAATAGAAAATAATAATTCTTCAGAAAATGTAGAAAATGTGCCTTCTGAATCTGATCTGCAAATAGCAGAAGCACTTATAAATTTGCCAGCAACGGCCATACAGAATAAATGTAATGACCATCAAGATATTTTTATACCAACAGAGATAAAACACTCTAAAGAAACAATTTTAAAGACCTCTGATGATATAGCAATTGAAGATCATGTTTTAGATGAAACAGAAGATGATAAGAAATCACCTGATTTGAAACTTTCATCTGATGATAATATAAATGTTCGATTTGAAACCGAACAAGAAAAAAGTGAAAATTTGAATGCCGCTCAATCATTAGTGCAGATGTCAGAATCCGTAGATCATAAAATTAATATTATTGAAACAAATACTGTAAATAATAATGACGCCACAGATGTAAGTTCATATAGTTTAAAACAGAATAATGGAATAGATAATATTAATACAGTGGAACAAAAAGTAGCTTTACTATCCAGTGATCCTGGTAGTGAACCAATTCCTAAACCTAAATTTGAAACCACCTCCTCCAAATTATTAAAAATTTTAGAAGAACCTGTTCCTCCAAAACTCTCTTTAACAAAGTCTACACCGACTAAGCAGATTATAATACAACACAAAGAAAAAAATTTAAATTTTGATATTGCTAAATCATCATTATCCACAAAAAATTCTCCAGTTATCATACGCCGGACGCCCTCTAACAAAACCATAATTAATAACTTGAATGAAATATCTTCAGAAAAAATTGTATTATCACGTAATAATAAGCCTGTGCAAGATGCGTCTTCGGTGCAAACTTATACTATTCAGACAGCCTCTGAAAATACTACTGGCCCTAATACTATTACAATAATTCAGCAAAAACTTAGGAAAGTGCCGAAAACATCCTCAAAGCTACACAAAATTAAACCGAACCAATCTCAGAATTCTCTTGTTTCTCCATTGGTCGACAATAAATTACAAAATGAAACAACTGATGAAGCAATGTTTGATATTAATTCTATGCCCATCGTTTTGTCAGATGATCTATTGACACCGGAGAGTATTGAGAAAATGCCGATTGTTATGTCAGATGGTAATATTATTTCTAACACACAGCATCCGCCCAAACTAATTAAAACAAAACCGTCTGCAGTTGAAAGTGATAAAAATTCAGCACATAATAAACCTGAAGTGAAAACATTACTTATGAATCCAGTGACAGAAGTAAATAAGATAACTCCCAATATTCTTTCTAAGTCGTCAAAATTACGTGGCACTAAGCCTATGTTGGTAATTGATAAAGCAACTGGTAAACAAAAAATAATAGTCACCAAGACAGAACCTATTATTAAAGAAGTTAAACAAACCCCGACATTAATACAACCAGCACCCCAGAGTACTGGAAAAGCAGAAAAATTTATAATCTTACCAACACCTAGTTCGCCTAGACCAGGAGGGCGTCCTCAAAAAATTGTTATTGATCCGCAAACGGGTAAAGCTCATGTACTAGTTGCTAAAGGACCAGATACATCTATCAGTGCAGTGGCTGAAAATAAGCCCGTATCCGCCAAGTTAATACCATCTTCTTCGGATGGTAACACACCTGGTGGCACCGTAATGATTATAACTAACGCTCAAGGCGCTAAATCTAGAATAGTTCTTACTCCCGAGCATGAAAAGATGCTATTTCCCAATAAACAGACCGCTAATATGTCGCAATTGAAAACGATCACTCATCGGATATCACCTAACCTTAACTCGGGGAATATCCAAAAAACTGTAGTAACAGGTGTTGCTCCTATCAAAAATCAGACAAGAATTGTACCGAAACAGAAAAATGCGATAATTACTTCTAAAGGTCAATTGATTGTAGGAGGTCGTGTCGCTACAGCTACTCAGAACATAGCTCCAATGCCTGAAATACGACCCAGTCCAAAACGGATTATAGCTGCTGCTGAACCACCAAAAAAAATTATACAAACTATACAAAAGACGTCATCGGAACCGCTAATATTCTTACAACAAAAGTCTGGGACAGTAGTACAATTAACAGCATCACAATTTGAACACTTTCAAAGGACTGGACAGATTATCCAAAAGGTATCGGCACCTATACATGAAAATAAAATTATCGTCCAGAAAACAAAAACGATTCCTGCCAATGAAATGATCGTTTCAAAATCGAGAGCAAGGAAAACCGCCATTGAATCACCGATGCCCGCCAAAAAGATAAAACATGAAATAGCAATAGCACCAGCTCCGGTGCTTACATCGATGCCTGCCTTGGCGCCTATATCGAATCCACCCATTACAAGTCTCTTACAACCGAATATCGTTTCAAGTACCATCTCTGTTACTACGACACCCACATACCCTGAATTGGAGAATTTTGAAGAACTACTACCATCTACTGCAATCGTACGACAGTCGGAGGTGGGAGCATCGCAGGCAGAGCCGTCTGTCCCCGCGCCCGCGCTGGCTCCCCTGCTGTCCGCCGCCCCCGCGCCCTCGACGACCCTGACTCCCGCGCCTGCCCCTGCAGCCGCCCCTCCTGCGCCTCTCTCCGATGGTCAACTGCTGGCAGTACCCGGAGAGCACTTTGGTGGCCCACAAGGCTCTTTCTACCTCTGTGTCGAGGACAATGGCACTTTAACACCCATAGACAATAGACCTTTGGTTTTGGAAAACAATCAACTCGTACCGATGGCCGTTGAACCTATACCGATTCTCGCTCCACAACCAGAACGTCGAGATATACTTGAAGCGGCTTTGGCGAATAGCGATGTGTTTCACGCAGAAACGCCAAGGGACGAGGCACCCGATTTTCGAGATTTAAATGCGAACGTTTCGGTACACTGTCGCGTGTCCGAAACGAGTACAACTTTAAATCAGCCTATAATGACCCCGGTCGAAATGCCCACGAAAGGTGACAGCGAACCTACGGTCCCCTCCAACTTGGAAGACGGACTCGCCGTAATAGGCGTTACACCACATACGGTCCCTACTTCGCTTGAATTGCCCATTACCGTCACAGATCCAAGAATAGCTCCCAAAACAACAGATCCATTAAGTGGGACAAACTATGGAACTACATTGTTACCATCCCCAAATACAGAAATGACTTTTGTGACTACTGAGGAAGTAGATATGCCATCGGTTGGTCCCATTTCGATGCCAATATTAACTGACGAAGAATCTGTAGGTAAATCTATGCCAATACTGACTGACGATGTAGCTGAGAGAACGGTTTCATCTGTTGAATCTACGATCGGATCGCCGTCGTCTATTGATGTGAGGGAATCTGAGACGGAGGACGGGAGTAACTGGACTCGACGACTCCTAACGCCCGGCTCTGATACGTCAGAGACTTCCGCAGAAATCCCTCTTCAACCCGTTATACAACTTTCTGCAAACGAGTTGTCTCGTCACAGCTAAACATGGAATTATAGGGTCTGTGTCTAATACGGTTTATGAAAATTTCTTTTTTTTATTTTCAAGAGAATTTTATTTATTGATAGGTTCTTGGAGTAAAACTTTACATTACATATTTTAAATGTGCAATAGAATAAGACGTGACTCTATCATTGTACACTATTAGAAGCGACGAAGCTTGATATGACTTGTTGTTTCGAGGTGTGTTTTTTTACTATTCGCCTCAATTTCATAAAGTGTGATTATTGATTCTTGTTAAAGTTTATGTCACTGTAATTTAAAAGTGAGCTTGTGTACGTTACAAACGTACAACTGTGTAAATATATTCACATACCGTGAAAGAGCATATTGTATGACTTTTTTATTTGAATTTCTTATTCAAATTGATGCATTAGTGCAGAAAAATATATAAATTAAGAATTACATGTAATTGTAAATTTAATTGAATAATGATATTGTTGGATCGTATCTGTAATATATAAAAGTTTAGGTATATAATATTTTTATAACGTCGGAAAAGGCTTGTGTGTAATCTTTACACAGAAAAATAAGGACAGTTGTGGTGTGTTCATACAAGCGTATGTACATGTCGGAAGTGTAGACGGGTCCTAGACCTAGCGTCAAATAGGGCCAGTTTATTATTACACAGGAATGAATGACTATATCATGATGTAGTGTTAATGTTAAGTACAATATTGTTGAGTAACTATGAAGCCTATGTAACTAAAGCAGATATTGGTTTGTTTGTGTGATCTACGACAGAATCTAGATCGTGGAATGGAGTCGTTAGAATTAACTTCTGTGTAGTTTTAATGAAAATAAATTTTAATCATAATTATTGTGCTTTAATTATACTCTTGAACTAAATATCTTAGATTTATGCAATACCACTGTACTGTCTTATTCAATTTTAATCGTTTTAAGAAAGCAATTACTGATTTCTGATTATCAGAGCGCGCGGCCAGAGAACAATAGGATCCCAACAATTATTCATGAGTTGAAATGCATGGGACATTACATGGGTTTCGTAGCCCCAAATGTTCCTGATGGTATGATCATTTTGATTAAAGTGACAATTTAATTGAGTAATTGTTTCCTTTTGAGTCAATGACAAACATTGTTGAAATCTTCCTTTCTGCATGTATGAGTAAAGGGATGATTTCATAACGTAATGACTTTACCTAATTGCAGCAATGAGTCTCATTTTTATGATTTTCACAGAAATAGATCTACTTTTCGCTGTGGGTTACCTCTCTCTGTCTCGCCAAATTCAGCTGTCAAGCATCGTGCTTTGAATGCTTTTTCGATTGTTAATGTATGTAGGAGACGTTTAACATTTACCATTGGGTTAGATGAAGACATTTTATTCGTTAGAATGTAAGCAACGATATCAATAATCATTATCTAAACAAAATATGAAATCTATTTTTTTTGTTAAAATACAAACTACTAGTTAGAACGGTTCATATTTTAAGTCTGACGATTGTGAGTGCGAATATTATGATTTTTTATGTATGCATTGGATAATCTCGACTTCGCTCATTTGTAAAATATTTCTTCGATTTGTAGTATTATTATTATTTTACAAACCAGGACTACTACATTGTTCAACCCGAGTAAAATTGCTGGACCTGCTAGTAATATGGGGATAGGTATGGCGGTTGGTTTAAGTACATAAATAATAGACGATTGCAAGTTATTTAACATTTACTCTTAGTTTTAACATAGTAATTTCTCAATTCCAGCAATGTAGTTAATAAATACATTATAAACTTATACTGTAATGTAGGTAAATACTAAGTCGTCTTTTATTAAGGCGTCACATAATGTTCAAGGTTATGGTTTATTTTACAATCATTTCAACTTGCACATTTTTAATTCGTCACTATAAACTACAATACTAACTAAACTACGGTAACAATTGCTAATTTATAAATTCGTAACATGAAAACAGTTGCAATATACAACGAGAGTTATGTATGAATGATAGAACTTAGCCTATGATATTTAATCGAACAAAATGTGTGAAACTTAGTTTCAGAGTCGTGAACATTCTGTTTCTCGAACAAAATAAGTTATAACAACCTATTTTACAACAGTCAATTGTTTACTTACTATAAAAAAATATCTCGTACTTTCATTGGTTTCATAAATTAATTTTAAATACAAAAATATTGTACAAAAAGAACTAGTTACACCAGAGGAATCAGGAGTCGGTTTATGATGACCAAATACTACTCGTTTAGGACACCTATAATAACGTGCGTTTCGAAGGATACGTGCTACTGCAGCGCTTGCCTGGTGGTATTAGGCAGGAGGAGGCACATGAGACCGCCGCCGGCCAACAGCACAGCTACGATGAAGGTGGGCGCCGGGCAGTAGGTGTCCAGAAGTGCTGCTATCACCACGTTGCCGATGATACCGCCCAAACGAGCCGCCACCATCGACACCGCAACTCCAGTCGCACTGTAATTGTATTCATTCTTATATTTTTTATGCAATTGACACTTAACTTAATTTATTTTTATATTTATACAAGCAAATGAACCATGGGGTCACGAGATGATATCATCCATTCAGTATATTTAAGAAAATACCGTCTAGGATATTATTGGTAATTATCTATAATATCACGCTCGATAAGCAGTGGCGAAGAACGTGAATAGAGCTAATACAGATTTGGAGCTATATACGTAGTGATTAATTAGTGTAACGTTGCATTCGCGAACTTAGCTTGCATTTGCAATTCTCGAATGCATATAAACATATATTTTCATAGAAAATCTGATTATAAACGATTGAAATAAAATTGAGAATTGTTAGGGCTGGTAACAGCATTATATATTAATTATGTAACCCTCTATTTGTCATTATTTTTCCAAACAGATAAATACTATTTTTATTGATATTTATAGGTATGTGTAATTACACTACTTAGTTACTGAGCAAAATGCATTGAATAACGGGATTATAAATAAGGTATGTACTGTGTTTGCGAATTCATTGAAACACCGCTAAGGAACATTTTTCGGGATTATAAACAGGTTCTCAGCGCTCAATTTTTATCCCAGCGCGGTTTATGTCTTTGTATTCATAGTTAAGTTACATTATTACAATTTATTAAGTATTCTATACATTCCATATTTTAATAAAATTATATTATATATCCGAATCTCGTGATGGCGCCCCCTTCGACGGGGCTCTGCATGCGTTGCATGCCCGTTTACGCCAGCCCTGATTATGAATATATTAATTTTCGACACAATCCTAGATCTAGAATAGAATAAAATAAATAAAACATCACTACACAGCAGTAACCATGTATTAACCAACATTATTAGATATTAAGTATTAAAATTCTTACCGTAAATTGGTCGGGAAGACTTCGGTAATGAGGCAGTCGAGCGACGCGTTGCCGCACGATATCACAGAACTGAAGATAGCGCTCACAATCAAGTTGTTAGTCTTGTTGTATACAAAGTACATCGCGGCTGAGCACAGACCAGCCGAGAATGTTGCGAATACTGGAATCAAAAGAAAAAACATGTAATCTGTAGACCTTCATTAGAAATTAGTAGCAACCGGTATAGGAAGATGAAAACTCATGAAAAAATTATAAGTAGGTATTTGAAATTTGAAAAACGTTGGACACTGCGTAGTTACATGATAAACTTCGTAAGCAATGTCCAAAATTTTTTGAGTTTCATTGAAAGTCTCACTTAATTTCAGTTGGCTATACCATTTATAACTATCCTTGTATAGTATATTTATGAACATTTCATTCTGACAGTTTCGATTTCGGTTTCAACCTAAATAATATTTTTACAGAATAATAGAACTCTGTTGATATACCTTGTAAAACATTCAATACGTTTTAATATGCTTATAATATAAAAAATATACCGTCAACGGATTACAAATTTATCTCAATTTATGGCTAGAACCTTATTATATATTTGTAAAAAAAATATAATCTTAATAATATTATAAACGCGAAACTTTGTGAGTATGGATGAATGGTTGGATGTTTGTTACTCTGTCACACAGTTCTCTAATATCTCTGTAATATAGCTTACATCAGAATAATAGCAGGCTATAATTTAAAAAGATATGTATACTAGGCGAAATATAATGATAAATGTCAGTAAGTGTGATTGAGACTCTACTCTACTACTCTTTCACGCAAAAACTACTGAACGGATTACGATGAAACTTTGTAATAATATAGCTTATACTTTAGAAATAATACGGAGTATAAATTTCACGAACATGAAACCGCGGACACGGTTTGTATTCTAATAATGCTCACCTAAGAAAAACTTCCTGCCGAGCCTATCCATGCCGAGTACGGCGAATATGTTGGACGGTATAGCGGCGGCGACGGTGATGAGGGACTCCATGAACACGTCGGAGTGTATGTGCGCGTCGCACGCCGCCGCGTCCGAGTGCGTGCCGTGGCGGGTCACGTAAGCCGTCACCTGGCAAATATCTGCCTCCGCGTTGTCGTGCGACCGGGACCACTCGTCGAAACGGTTGAACATCTCCGGGAACCACATCATCAGCCCGTAGTACCTGCCATTTTTGAACTTAGTAATTATTAGGTATCTACAATTGTAACTCTCTGGTAAACTGTACGAAGACTTACTTCTTCTTCAAAACTGTTCACAAAGAATTTCAATTATTTCTGCTGCTAGCGAAGAGAAATGTGTTCCAGTTTGTAGGTTTTTTATTATTATGTATCTGAGAAAGTGGACCCAAAGTCGGCCGGGTCGCGAATGGAAAGAACATGACAATTTTATTTAATTCAGGATTGTCTTTTTTAGAATAACCGCAGAAATTATTCCACCCCGGGATGTTGCAACCATATTTACCATAATTACCGGAGTCTACCGGAAAATCTAGGGACAACCGTAGATAGTGTGCACAGTGGTGATTAAAAGGATGATATGGCATTGATAGTAATTTCATTGACGATTTACCGAGAAATTACATCTTAATCTTCGGAAATAGCAACATATAAGGGGTACCATAATGACGTGATGTCCGTGGCGCAGTTCATATCCATACGCGATAATTGCGCACTTTCCATCAGGTTGACCGTTAGCTTATTTACCGTTCCAGTAATTTTAAGTAAAGTATCTAATACTCACCCGATATGGAATGTAAAGTTAATTGTGATAGATATCGTTGTGAACTTCAGTATCGGCGGTACGAATAGCTGTTTACTGTGCTCCACAATGTCACTTAACATTTGCCTCCATTTCGACTTAGGCTCTTTCGGCTCGATTTGCTTCTCTGGTTTGGTGTGAACTGGCCCGTCAATCAACAATTGTTTCACTGGGTACTCCTCTTTGCTACGGCCCGTGTTCATGAGGTAGATGCTTCGGAATACTTCAAGTGCATCGTCGTGGCGACCGGTCATTAGTAAAAATTTCGGCGATTCTGGTAGAAGTAAAAGAAGTGCAGCCACTAGGAATGAAGGCAGTGACATCACTAGGAGGAAGATTCGCCATGAGTTATACACGAAACCGCCGGTTTCACCACCAATTTCTGAAATAAAATATAATATATTACATTTATATAAGTTTCAACGTGTAAGTTACTACAAATGTTTTTAATGTTGCTCTTCGAAGGAGAGGTGTTCTACCTACTTTCAACTGTTTCTCTATTTGTCTTTGGCATAATATTAGCTGCCAAATCAATGATTGAATACTGTGTGTATTTTAATAAAAATTGAAAAAAAGATAAATTAAAAATGTAGGGACATTTAGCGGAAATTCGAGAGTATTATATTAAACTGATAATATTTACAGATTTGAGATATTGTATTAATGACAATTTAAAAAAAACTCACCAGCTGGAATAATGACCCATGCTAGTCCGGCGACAAATAAGTTGCCCAGCGTCCAAAAAGCTGCCATGAAACTCAACATCGCCCCACGTCTCTTTTTGGGCTGGAACTCCGCGAAATATGACCATATCACCGGACCCGAGCCACCCAAGCTGTAATATAAACATTTAAATGTATATACTAACAATATATAATAATGGAAGCCACTTTGTTAAATAATTGCGTAAAGTTTTCAGAGAGTCGTAAGAATATATCTAATAATTTTTTATCAATAAATTTGGTTACAAGTTAATTTAAAAAAAGTACTTTTTCTTAAGTGCGCAATAGAAATAGTAACTGTTTTTTGTTATGTAATGAAATCGTAGGACTACGTTATATACCTACTAGGTATTATGGTACATATTACTATTACAACTCATAATGTTTTATTTGTATGTCAATACGTTTCAAAGGCTATTGAAACACGATAATAGTCAAGGTGATTAAGTTGTTAATTTTTTAATGATTAAGGAAGTAAGTCCTTTTGAATATATGCGTTGTTTTGAATTGAACCCGTTTCACTGGAAATTAAAACGTAGCAAGAACTGCTGAAACGTCAAGAATTTGAATATTTGATTATCAACATTCCAGTTAAATGTTATCAGTTCATTCTTTCTGTTCATTCGTATAAAGTTAATCCGTCCTTGGTACCTCGACTGGTAGGTCAACCGTTTTCATTTCTATTTAAACGTTTAATGTGAAAATTATACACTTAACTAGTTCAAGTTTGCGAATATCAATCAGCTAGATCTCTGAATTCAATTCTATTGTCTAATAGATTTTGAATTAATTAAATATGTGAATCCTATCTGCCTGCTTTCAAATACTAACAGATATTTATACATGCTATACATTTGATTGGGTAATATATATATATTGTTTTTAAAATGGATCTTCGTATTTAAACATATTTATCTCGGTAACCTAATCCATCAATTATTTACATTTCCTAATGCATGGTCACGGAAGGTTGGTATATATTCATTATTTCTATAGTAAGCTTCTAAAAATGATAAACAAATGTAAATTCATGGTGTTGTTGACGGTTTATTGATAATTAACAGCGTAGCATATGTAAGTGAAGTCAAATAAGTAAATTATTTTTTTGTGGTTAGAATGACAAACAAATGTGTCACCTGATATATCAACCCGTGCCTAAAGAGTATAGAGATACATACAAGACAAGATGTACTTGTACCATGGAAATGACAAAATATACAACATATTAATATTTCTGAGGACTACGATATTAGCGATCTCTGTTACATTACTATTTTTTTTAGTAAATTATAATAACGAGCAGACCCGGCGAGGCGTTGCTGTGGCTAAGGTTAAATAATATCGCGACTATAAATTGAGATATAAGCTATCCTATCTTTCAAGTTGGATCAAATTGCACACAATGTACAAATTAAATTTGCAATCAGTAGGTTAGGAGTCCACCGCGGATAAACAACGTGACACCTAATGTTTATATATAAATATTTACCAAGATCTAATACGAAAACTGGAAGGAAAATGTAATTTATCGGCTCTTGCTTTAATGCTTCAAACAAATAGTGCACCTTAGATACTCGTTTATTTTAATAGTAGGTACATTCATCCTCGCGGTCTTAAAATTAGTATTTTGCTCCTTGACTGTTCTACAAAATTGCTCATAGCACAGTGTATTCCACACTGTGTTATGAGCAATTTTGTATTATCAATCGAAATATCAAGTGTTGTGTTCACTACAACGTCGTTAGTTGGCAAAGCCTCTCACTATTCCATCTAAGATAACAACAGTGATGGTAAAATACATTCGAATTATTATAACAATGTCACTAAAAGCAAATCAAAGTATACTTACGCGGCACCGTTTATAAAGCGGAAAAGCATGAAGAGCTCATAGTTCTGACTGAAGGAAGACGAGACGATGGCCACGCCGTTGATCACGGAAATGGCTATGAGCACACGCTTGCGGCCTAACGAGTCTGCCACAGAACCCCACGCGTATGCACCAGCCATCATACCGATGAAAATTATGCTGTTCAACCATCCCTGTTAACAAACGTCACACGCTATTAAATCAATCAAAGAAACCTTAAAAAGTATATAGAGAAAATGACCGAAATAAATGAAAATGAGTATTAGGATAATATCCACTAGGTACCTCTTGGAAATCTCCGTGGTTGATTCGTATTCAATTAGCCTTCATCATCCTCATCCTTCGTAGTTGCCTCGCGTATAGATACCGTAATCGCGGGCGGGTGCACAATCCCATTATCAACCATTAAGAAAATACTTAGTATTACCACAGATAACATAATATTACATAGTATTACATTACAGAAAATACAGATAAATATTTAAGTGCTTAATACAATGCTGCGCAGATTGATAATTCTCAGAAAACGAATCGAAAAACCCAACTTTAATTGTCAGCAAATCTAATTTGCTGTTATGAAGTCATATCTAATGGGACAGGTAGGTAATGAAAAGTCAATATGTACTATATGGTATCTATAGAGTACGCTACAAAATAAATGTTTCCTTGTAAGTATCGTCGAAAACAGCTGTTTAGTCATTCATCAGTTAATTTAAGCGTCTATGAGTGACATCACTGCATTTAGGAATTTTATTAATAAGAATTTTAAATTAAATTTATTTTTTATTATTGTAAGTTACAATACACATATCATAGTACGTCGTCATGTAAATATTATAATACTGACTGTATTATAATATTTATATGACGATCGCGGTGGTCTAAATGCAATTCTCATCCGAAACAAAAATTTGTATTCATGAGTTATAAGTATTTATCTTGGTGTTTTCTAAGTATAATGATAGTTACAATGTATCCCTGGATGAAGTGACCGCCCAAAATGTCTCGAATATTTAGAAATAATCATCAACGTATATAGTATTATATTATATGTACATATAATAAAAATATACACTAGTCGATTACCTAAATAAGTTTTTTATAGAGATTATTCGTGTCAATTAATACCATAACCTATAATGTAAGATATGTACCTATATTGTCTACAAAGTAAACATTTGAGTCAGCTCCTTTAATAATATGTTTTCCTTTAATTGGCGTTACATCTTAATCCTCTAAAATGGCTCACTTCAAAAAAGACTTAGTCATCCTGGAGAACAAGTACCACAATAATGTAAAACGATTTTCAGTTAGTTATAGTTATTATCTAATTTCCGTCATCAACTATAGTCACCGATACATTTAAAAGAATATGTCAGTTTGCAAATTAGTTAAGCTACGTCGGCATAGACGTAGGTAGGTTAGGATGAATCATACTGTTTTAAAGTGCATTGAACGTAATACAGTCAATCTTATACTGATTACTAAAATGAGTATGTTTTTAATTAGATCATATTTTTCACACATAAATAAATTCCCGATTATTTCATCATTTCTGATATTATAAGGTTTTAATTTTTTATTTGCTAGCTACTTTACGTTTCTTATATATAATAGTAAAAAAAATTCAAGATGGAATACCCCTCAAAATAAACTTTAAATATAGATATTTTTAATGTCATGTAATAATTAAGTTAACTTTAATAAAAATGTAGTTAATTTTAACCAACAGGTTTAACGGGAAGGTAATTTAAGATTCTGCGTAGTGGTTTCGTATCAATACTACTTGAGTAAGTTTATATAAATACCTTAATATTATCTAATATATATGTATATTCTTTGATAAAGTTCCAATGACACACCAAAGGTACACCAAAGACCATTTACTTCATTATTGATTAATGTTTATTTATTATTCGTGGCATTGAGGAACGATAATTTGAACTAGAAACAAATAGTGTAACATTATGATGTTATTACATAATGTTCATTAAAAATAAACTTAACATTGAACACTTTGTTTCAAGTCTTGTCGTCTAGAGGTTATAGCATATCGCCTTTCTTCCAACTCGCGGGTTCAATTCCTCTCTCTATATACCTACACATTTGTATTCATGAGTATGATCGTTTCGTTTGGGTGTTTACTGTATTTACAGAAAACACGTATTTAATTAGTTTATTTGTATATTGTATTTGTATTAGTTGTCTATTAGGTTGCAGCTGAAAGATGCTTATAAACAGCATAGCTAGTAACCACAAATACCATCAATTTTACTATGACTTTTAGCAACAAATATCTAGAGGATTACTACATAATAGACATAATCAAAGTAAAAAATAAAGCTTTTCAGTTAGTGTTTACTCTAGAAAGTTATAATCGTTATACAGAAACACTATAGTTATTAATTAATATTGTCGATATCAACGTAAAAATTCTTGAAGTTATTGGATCTTCATGATATTTGTACCTATTACATTTTTTATGTAACTGAAATGGTAGACAACCTGACGGTCTATCGGTAAAAAATATGTTCAACATTATATTACCATATAACACACGCGATATACCACTCGTGCTCTGTTATTCCTGAGAACTAAGAGGTCAAGTCTCTTTACCTGTAATTTCACTGCCTTATCTCACCTTTCACTGCTTGGTACCTGAAATACTTGAGAATGAGGTACCAACGCAGTCCAATTTCTACCTGGATACAATTAAATATTTATAAAATGAGTTTAAATATCAATTTCTTCAATAAGTAATATTTAATTTAGTCATTTAACTAGTTACTAACTAAATTCAATGTAATAATTCAAATGTGAATGTGAAAATGAGGTTTATTGCCATGTTTTGATGTATGACTTCCTAATCGCTATATATAATACAGTTGTTTACGCTAATAAAGTGCGCCCATGGTACCTACTTAAAAAAACTTTTTAATTTCCGACCTATTATCTTTTACTTTACTAAAAGGTATTTGTTGAAATTTAGTATCATTAGATTGATTTGGTAGTCCTACCATTATAACTACCTATTCTAGTTATATTATATCCTACCATTATTACAGCACTATTAAATCATAATTAAAAATAAACTTAAATATTTAAGAGTAATGTACTAATCAGTCAGGTCAACTACTACCCAGAACTCCTTTGAAAGTATAATTTGTGAAATTTGCCACTATTGTCTAACTGATCTGATTTGTTACATAAACTACAAAAAGAGAGACTTGTAAGCTTTTTAGATAAAAAGCACTTTCGGTTGATTTTGTTACGAGCATCATAAGGTAAATATATATATCACCGGTAGTATTAATAAGTAAGGTACCCACACCCAGGGAAAAGAAAAATTTTAAAAATATTAATTCAATGAGCATACTTACTTTAGTCTGCGTGGTAAGATCTAAGTCGCACTGCGCCGACGGGAGTATGAAGGACATCGAGATGACGTCCATCTCCTCCGAGGTGCTGACGAGGCCGCATACCGCCAACAGCAGGTAGTGGAATCGTCCATATCCTGTTCCAACGTAAACAAACCCTCACTCGTGTCACACACTCCAACTTTCCGAGAAACGGTGGCGTGTTTACGACGCGGAACAACGCAATAACTTGGGGAATGCAAACTGGGCAATTCATTCATGAATCGTCTCAATTAGACATTCAAAACCACGTATTCAGATTACATACCTATTATACCCAAGTTTCGTTTACATTCATACTTTGGATGTCTTAATTATGTAATAACGTGTTGTGTATCGGATTACATTTGCAATACACAATTCTATAGAAATCAGCACCTTGTTTATTATTAAAATAATGCTACGTAAAGGAATCTGGCATTTGAATCATGTCACTGTTCCATCGCAATATCTTATGTAGGTAAATATTGTAAACACACACACAGTGATGTTTGTTTGTTTTTATCACTTAAAAATCTGTGACTACAAATAATTAATATTTAATCAGGCCTCTGTGACCTTTAAAAATCATTGCAGTAGTACTCACTTTCGTCTCATCTTTTCAATATTAGGTACTCATTAGGTAAGTGTTTTGTTTTCGGCATCGACATTTAGAGAAGATAAACCATATAATTACCAGTTAATTCTATAGCCTTCTCGAAGTCAGCTTTTTCAGAATTTGGACCTTTTTCTGGGTCGGTTTTGGTTGGTGTCTTCAGAGACGGAACGACTCCTATAATAACAACACGTCATATAAGTTAAATTCTATAAGTAGGTATATAGTAAACAATTGAAATGATACATTTTTTATACTATTTTAAGAGTATGAACTAATTAAGATAATTAAGTACTTTACAAGAAAAACATTACTATCTAAAAAGGGGTAAGAATAGTAGGCAGTTGACTTTGTACGAGTAAAATATCATTATATTGATATTCATTATTCATTTTTATGCGATATACCTACATCGCAGAAAATAAATATATATAGACATTTTAAATTTAAGTAAAGAATGGTATCTAATATATTACGAAGTATATAATACAAAAGTACCTCTACAGACAAACAGACGTACCTCTACGTAATTAAAAAGAACATTATAGCTTTTTGTTCAAATAGTACCCTTAAATAATATCTTATTTTTGGATAGATAATATTATTTTGTAGTAAGTAGAATATCACAAAATATTAACTACTATATCTCAGCATATTCATACCTACATATAATAAAATAACAATAGGCTCAAACGTGACCCATTGATAATACGAACACAACTAAGTATTATATATTACCGCACATTATTTTTGTTATATACCTCATTCATAGGGCAACATATGCGTAAATGAAATGGTCATGTTAAATCTTTAATATACCTATTAATCTTCATTTAAAGAGAATACCAAAGATATTTTATCTGTTTGTGTTCATGCCATTGTTAACCTACTTCACCTGTGTTATATGTGGATTCGTACTATGACCATTGACAATCATTATAATGAGTTTCATTAAGAACAAAAGTCTCCAAACAAAAAATATCCATTTTATTTAATAATAATGTAATCCATTCTACGGCATTGCCTTGCTTATAAGTTTTTATGAACATGAGTACCTATTCATTAATGCTTTAAACAATATAATTATGTATTTATTGCACAAAAAAATAAAATTTATCCAATTTATAATTATAATTTATATTAATCGCGTATACTAACAATTGTGAGAACATGATATCAAGATTTATAGTACCTACAAAAACATAACATACTACAGAATAAATAATAATGATCCCACACTTCGTTAATATTTAATTAGTAAATAGTAACGACGTGATTGAACTATGACAATAAAATTAGTTTTTTCTTGTAATAGGTAGTTAAATCAACTTGTCTGTTATGCTGTCAGACTATATGTATGAATTTATTATCACGAAAAATTAGTAGGCATTTAGTTGCATTAACAGCGAGTAATTTTACCGTAAAATTACTCGCTGTTAATTTTGGAATCGTAATCAGTATAAAATATAAAAAAAAATCTCACCAAGATCAACAGTTTTGGAACCTGGTCCGTTTAGTTGGTGGTTTCCCTTTACATCACAATCTAAAAAAGAAAAAATATGTTAGGCTCCTTATAACCACGGATAAGATAATATTACAGCACTATATCAGCTACTTTTTCATTTAAATTTTGATTAATTATATTATCAATGTTACAAAGTGAAATGTGTCCAAAGGATATAAAGCAGGAAGTTATTAATAAGTCAACCTTTACCTTGCTAACCGGAAACTTACTCGCCGGGGGCTGTACGGCCTTCAGGTTGTCCTGACCACCTAACTTTTGTGAATTACCCCGACCCAATAATGTAATTAATACAATTATTTAAACCATCTCACAGTTCACTAAGGTTGACAAAGTAATGAGTACTTTTGTGTCACCTATTTCTGAGACTAAGCCGCATGACTTGTACGCTGTGTCAGTCGAAGGGTGAAATATGGTAGTAAAATTGCAGGATACGGAGGCATGGTACCATCGGGGGTGATGAGTTGCTTTTACAGAGGGAGCCACATTATTTTAGAGATTTTTAACAAGGTCGAGATGGACCTCGACTACAGCGACCAAACAAAAGATGTTTAAATGCAATACCTATTACATATATGTTGTAGTTATAACTTTTTTCAACTTCCAAAGAAATCCCCTTCTGTAATTTAATTCTGATAGAGTGACAGAGACACAAACTTCTTCCTGACATAAATTATACCTCTTAATTAGAAGAATAGAATAGAATATGGTTCAAATGGTTTTATCGATATTGTTTACTTCGGTATTAAGTTAGAATATTGCGAGGATTGAAGTTGATTTGTTAATGGAATAACATTTTTAATTAATAATTTGACTTACTGTGAGTTTTCTTGGGCCCCGGGTCAGTTTCTACCATTCTATGCGGGCGGGCGGCGATGTATGTCGGCTTTTGCACAGACTAGAACACTCACTGGCTAGCTAGTCGCTTCCAACGGCGTTCGACTCGACTGTAAACAACAAGAAAACTCTTTTTAAAATATATGTCTTGAAGGATCTGTAAATTGCATATATTTAATGCTCATTATCATTCTGTATATTTACACTGCAAGGTTGACAGCAATCAACCTTTGCGAAGTGCAAGTATTTTTGCTCTCCTCTTAAGTTCAACTTTTGTACCACATTCTATTTATATATTATTATATATAATAAGTAAACAAGTACATTTTCAACATGGAATTAAATAAATGGTAAACATATAAAATTATGAGGTGTATACCTGGTGTACAGTTCATAATGAAATAATTAAACTATCCTGCAATTAAATGCCATAAGAATTTAATTATTTTAAATTAAGAATATCAACTTCCTCCTTGTAATCATGGTATGGTATTATTTTCACCAAATCAATATCCGGTATATTTAACGGCATAAAAATTAAGCTATGTTAGTAAATCTTAGGGTATGAGAAAAATCAAAATAGCTGTTAAATGTGGATATATCGGATAACAGACATAACAATATGTTCATCATAATCATCATCTGCTTCCTCCTTATCCCAGTTATTTGTGATCGGCTTAATATGTTTTTCTGTTCCATTCATCCCTTTCACACAGTTCATCCATCTCTTTTTCGGCCTTCCTCTGCCCTTATAACCATGTTCATATAGATCTATTATTTATAGTACGTTGAAAAAGCATGACCAACAATTAAATATATTATACATAATAATGAAGGACTGAAGACGTCATTTTCAACAGTCATTGTAACTTTCCTATAGAATATCTTTATAACGCAATAACTATAAAAATATAAATGTCTATAATTTTTTTACGATTTGAGTAACATTTTACGAGTACCAAGTACGTGTACGTATAAGAGTGTATTTTACGGTATTATAAGCGATATGTATTCAAATCTGGCACGGGTTAATAACATTGTATAATACTTGTGCAAGGATTTTAATATTTCAATATTTATATTTTACTAAGACAATATAAAATTTCTGGATGAGTTAAACAATTGACTACATAAATGCATAAGTATAAAAATATTTTTAACATGTAATTTTATTAATAATGGAAGACCATTTATGCTCGTAAATTGAAATAAATTAGATAATTAAATTTTATGGAATGATCTGGAAATTTTTGTTTTGCTTTATTTTTGAAACGTATACAGATGGTTTTCTAAATAAATCAGTCTCATTATTAAAAAAATATGTCGGTTTTCTCTGTTTTATGTATGCGCGGTAGAATCAAAAATGTTATATGGCTTTTTAAAAATACTTATATTATATGTGAATAAAGATTGTTAGTATTTTTATTTATTTTCGTCGTTAGTTCAATACAAATTACATACAACAATTTTCACAAATCGAACGTTAAGCTTAAAACGAAATAATATATAATGTGGAATATTTTTGTACCGGAATTAATTGCATAGAAATCATCCACATAGAAAATTACCTCCTTCACTTCGTAAACATAATCATATATCATTTAGTCATTAACAATTATCTCAATTTCAGTTGAATTTTCATCATCTATTTTAAGTATGGAAAAGAGACAGGTAATAATAAAAATAGGCAAAGCATATGATTGCAATATGACTATAGACCCTCTCTTAGAGAATGGTCTACTCATGAGAATGCAGAGTTTATATAGAAATGGTCTAACTAACTAGATAATTGACTAATGTACTACCTAAATACATTATACAAAATTTTATTATTTTAAAATAACAACATGTTATACATACAAATAAAACTACTTATTAATAAAAATATTTGTATTCTATGGGAATATAATTCATTTTCATCAGACTTTTGTGTTAAACCGTTACACTGTCAAGGTCTTTCTAATAAAAGATTTAAACGCGTTTAAATTTAATTTTTCTTAATTATATTATATACACTTTTTTGTTTCTTCCTATATATGATATATTATAAAAGTCTCTTACGTGATAACATAAGATGTTCGTATACATATATACCATACTTTCTTAAATCAATTCATCCTTAAGCATGATGACGTACAACATTTAAATATGCAAAATATCAAGGTGAATAGAATAGCGCTTGATATAAATGTACATAACCTAGGATACATAAATCACTTGTACCCTAATCTACACAGGCATAGTCGTAGATTAGAGTTTGTATACGATGCTACGTGACTCCAATGAGTAGTCTAAATGAGGCGGCGAACAGATTGTTTTATAATATGGGCACAGGTGAGTGATCAGGCAACAATGGACGGGAAACCGGCTGTCAGTGCCGCACTGGCCGTCACTTGCCGTTTTCATCTAGCCATCTACCGTTTGTCTACAGCAACCTCACCTCCAGCGTACAAATGCTAACAAATAGCTCTTTTATTTAGCTGGAATAGCAATCAACCTGACGTCCTACCTCATAGTAAGTGGTAGTCGCCTATATATGTGTATGAACAGCATAACGGATAATACGTTATCATGTGACGCTCCTGATACCAAGTAGCATTCATGTGTTGCCATTCCGGAAGACTACGATGTCATATATATACTTATATGTAACGATAAAACTTGTCTTTACTTTATAGATATTGTAGTTACTAGTAACTGTAATTAGATAGTTACTATAAAGCTAAACTACATACATGGAACTGTATAACTTAAAAAAAGTGAACATAAAAAATATGATCCTATACTTTTCCTACGTTCTAAAAACAGATAAAAAGGGTCTATATTTGTGCCCTAAAAACAAGCCTAATAAAAATGAACTACTATGTGTAACCTAAATAATACAAGAAAATAAAAAGTCAACAAGAAATTGGCTAGTCTAGTACTACATTTAGGATTTACTACAGTATTGTTACATTATGAATTATTTTTGACACAACTAACAGTTCACCATTAACTGTTAGTTGTGTCAAAAATAATTCATTGATAACTATAGAAGATATTCTGTTTGTTGTTACTTTTACAGCTCTACTAACTAAATTCAATTCTCATCCGTAATCATTTATTATATTTTAAAATCAGTTAAGTATATTTTAAGGATATCCTTCAAAAAGAAAGAATCAAATCTTTACTCTTTATAGTCGTTTGCAGCTTAGCAATGAAAAGAGATAATTCGATGCAGCATTCAGAAAGCTTTATAATAAAGTAAGATAAACTTTGTGAAGCTTATGTTACTTCATTAAAAAGCTGATGAACAAAAAAAAGCATTAAATAACACCAAAATAGTAATTTTAGCATGTAAGTACCGATCGATGTAGCTAATTATATCCGTGTATTCACACGTTCTTGTTATTTGCCTATTACTTCAATGTCATCTTCAATGGTGACAAAATCATACTTCCGAAATCTGTATTTCCCTAAAGTAAGACGGAAGTAACGCATGAACGTCCTTTACTGCGAACTTTAAATATAACAATAACATAATTCGCATTGTTTTGTAGAACTTACGTGCATAAAGGCAGATGACAAATCCTTTTACCAATAAGGAGATCTCATGGTACTGTTAATATTGTTTTTTTGACACTGTCAATGGAAATATTCTATAGTACCTACATCTATTGATATATTTTTTTAATTGATCCCTACATGATTTTTAACGTAATACTATACAACTAGAACATAAGTTAGTATAAGCAGTAACCACCGCATGTAGCAACTGTAAGTAGTGAACTTTGTGGTGCCCATAGTAGTCAATGTCGCACTTCTCATTTCATAATATTTCCTGAAGAAAATTATGGTACTTTCCTAATCAGTATTATAGGTTACTATTAGAAGCATGTCTTATTATTCAAGAAGAAAATAATTTCAGAGATTTAGTAGCACATATACATGAATCAGAGGCACTCATATGCCAGGATTGTCAACCACATGACAATCCTCGAACAAGAGTTTAATCTCCCCTACGACGTATGGGGAAATCTTAATCTTCATATAAATTTGTATGAGCTTTTGATCATTAGAAATCTTAAACTAAAGCTTATTTTTTACTAGTTTAATTAAATTACTAGTTGTATCCGCGGAAATCACAAAATTTCACAAATATTGATCCATCCATACTCACAAACTTTCGCATTTATAACGTTAGTTAGATGGTTTTTGTCCTTGGTTAGTGTACACGCTAATATTATGATTACTCCCCTGTTATGGTTAGAGAACTATATATCCAGCCATTATACGAGATTATTTTTTTCGTGCTAGACAAAAAGTTGTAAGGTACACAGCATTGTGCAATCGTGTTATTATAATTCCGGTGTTTCTAATTTTGTAATATATAGATAAATGAAAAAGATAGGGACACATGTACAGACTGTATTTATTTTATTAATTTGACTGTTTTATTTTATCGGTATCGGTAATAAAATCATTTATAATTATTTATTTTTATAATATGACAAAATAAGTAAATGGAATTTTATGTACTTAATATATTTATGAAATACGTGTAGGATAAACCAGCCTTGTGCCGGCGATTGATATCCACGTAATTAAACTGCTAGTAATAAATAATTGGTACGCAATAAACTTATGTAGACCGACACTAGCGTAATTTCTGAACAAACTATGAAAATATAGTTTATTAATGCTATATATCTAATACTCACTGTTGCCGAAGACAACCTTTTGGATAATTTTTTATATACAAAAATAATCTTTATTCAAATAAACTCATTACAAGCACTTTTGAATAGTCATATTTTGATTCTACCACTCATTCGGAATGCAGATTCATCACAAGAAGAACGAGCAAGAAACTTGTGTGTTGCTCTTTTTAATAGATGTTTTTTTATATAAATTTAATATATGTTTGTATTATTTTTATGTAAGTACTGATTCTTTTCTTATGCCATATTCCTGGTCTTTTCATTTTTGCTAATTTTACCTCACCTAGGAACGTGTCATTTTAAACCAGTTTAATACAGTCCAGTCAAAACGTCATTTCCATAGCATTATTATATTTACACTATATTTATTTCAATATAAAATAAATGTCGAATGATGACCAATGGTTCAT